TTCTAACCCATATATCATTGGATTAAAAAGAATAGCTGAAGAATTTCTGATATCAATTAGTTTCTTGTAATTTTGGGCATGAATGACAATTATATCAGCATCCATATCGAATGTGCACATTTCACAAATGATGTCAATGTTATAATTTTTTTTAAGAAAATTGAGCTAACCAGTGTCTTTTAAATTTTAAATTTTCTTATAATTATAGACATCGTTTTTATATTTTATTTATTCGTGAATAAAATAATTTTTAACTATTAGTTTGTTTTCGAGACAAAATGGATTTTGCGGCCACGGAATTTCTAAGTCACTGTCTTGGATACATTTGTTCCTAAATAGCACTTGACGTAAATCTGAACAATTTAAGAAAATTGTGCTATGACTTTACTATTGACTTAGCTTACGGGGTTTAAAGTGGCTTCGACAACTCTTGGTAGCCACTTCGACGGAAGCCATTTATATCTGCTTTCCCAGTATTTTTATTATTTCTTGACATTTATAAATATATTACACCATCATGATTCCACAAGTTCTAGAACTGACGCGCCTCAGTTCACAGCCAAAGTCTTTGGACATCGAAAGTTAAAAGAACGATTCGTTCATCATTCATTCCACAAGCTAACAATTGTGAACCGCCCCTTTTAAAAGCTCAAAATTCTATAGAGATGTAGAAACCATAAAGTCAACCTCTAGAACCAAATTTGTTAAAGAGAGTGACACGAACTTCCGATGTACATTGCCTGTACCATTTGTTGAAATCCAGATGACCTTAGCTGTTTTTGAATTGGAAATACCAGCTGATTGCTGATTATTGTGGATGAAGTGATCAGGACAGGGCATAAGGATACGAGAGCTGTGATATTACACGTAATAAACTGGTGTTGTAAACTAGAGTAGCTAGTCAGTTTAGTTCCTTATTTGGGTTTGGTCTGATAGCCTTGAATAACTACACTTTGGAAGGTTACACTTGTATGATTCATCACGTCCCAATATAGTCCTTCCCTTTTCAAATAGAAGTCAAGTACTTTGATATTGTTACAGATGAGAAGGAAGTATATAAATCAGTGACATGATTAACTGTGAACACTTTGCATTAAAACTCCCACCTATAAGAGTTCTCACACATTTTAAGATAAATTCCATTTTCACGTCAATCGTTACCAGAGAATCTGACCAAAACAATCCAAACACCTGTCATTGAACTACAATCAAAAATAAACACCATGATCCAAACATGTTTTGGAAGAAGGAAGCAGATCGAATAATTCACGCCACACTACCAATGGACGAGTTTCACCTACCAAACCATCAATTCAAAACCATCCAATTGATCCAGATCTTACCACCAACTACCACGACTACCAACAAATATCAAGTCAGCTATATAAGCTTAAGCTGAAAGCGGACGTTAACTTGTCATTTACTTTTCAGTTTATTCATTTGGTACTTCAATGTTCTTCAAATGTAGCTACCTCTTAGGATGACTACAAAAATGGAATTTATAGACATTGCCAAAATGAGTCTTCATTTACCAGTGGACTTACCAATTGTCATAACTATATGACATTTTCCTCTATAATCCAATAAATCCATAAAACTAAGTAATAACCCTTAAACGAAGTACGCTTAGTAGCGTTTTTCAATAATTACCCAGTTTAATTGATACATTGTATATCGTCTTATATAGAGATTTTATTCTTTAGTCATGGCACTTGGTAAGCACCTGATGAATATACACGTATACTCTTGTTGACCAAGTTTGGGAATTAAAATTTAATGTCCATTCTAAGAGGTAGCATTCCTTTAAGAGTTAATAAATATGCATTTTTTGGTTTCATGTTGTGGATTTCAAATTAGTTGACATACAATAACACCTGCAAATATCCTTTTATGCATTTCTTCCTATTCATGTTTATAGATTCGATTTTCTCTTGTGGTATATTTGAGAAGTCGATTTGGAGTTTCCAGAAACTTTTTTGCTAAATGGCAAGCGGTGAAAGATAGTAAGAAAAAATGGTAAACTCTAGTGTATATTGAAAAAGATTAAAAAAGGGCGTAAAACTCAATAAAATAAATTCATTTTGTTACATCCGAACATCCCAGATCTGACTCCGCCTCTGATTGACGCAAATCAGACCAAATGAAGTGGGCGTATCCGACCAGAGACGTTAAACAGGAAATCAACTTCCAGTTATTATCTACTAAGTTCACCTCACATTCAACACCAAATGTAACAATGTTAATAACAGGTCTTACTTTTCTAAAACCACAGTTACTAATAGTGTCGAAGACACTACTTGCGTCCATTTTCACCTTTAAATTTTTCAGTCATAGAAAGTTTTGAGGACATCTTAACAATTTAATTAATCTAAAACCGATTCGAATTATGTTCTAGGATTTGACCAATAATCTTACAGCTCACTGCGATGAGAGGCAGCCCACGACCTTGGTGAAACAGAATATGAAATTATTCCTTCCACGTTGAAGTGTATCCAGAAGTCATCTGTTGCTGCTTTAGGTTGCAATGGCTGGTTTTTAGCATTATTGTATCAGAATCAACAGATCTCCTCTAATAATTTCAAATTCAATGTGATCACGTATCTGTCTGATGTAAATTGATAATTTAATATTAAATTTAAAAAAAAGCGTCGATTCGAAGCCAGGACTCGTAGGAACTGGTGGACGGGGAGATGAAAACCTCTTATGTTCAATAATTAATTTGTTCATTGAGTTCAAAGTACTCTTAAGAAACAAGGTACAGGTATGTAATAAATAGTCGCAGGATGGAAAGAGGTAGTTTCATCAGGACTGCTTTGGGTTTTCATATGTTGAAAGAATTCAAAACAAACTTTGTAAACTTAAAGCATTTATTTTTTCGTGAGTTTTTCATTTTATCCATATTATGACAACAAGATTCTGAATAATAAGCCCTTCATGTTAAAAAAGTAGAAAATAACCAAAGACATTCGTGTAAATTGCGCAGCACCATTGTGTCACGTGACATGCACGCACCCGTCTCTCCACAATTATATATTACGTCATCAAAATATGTGCACAATTTACAACATACACCTACAGTGATTTAACAACAATTGATACAATATAACAATGATTATGATTGGCTAATATTGTTTAGAAATCGATGAAAATTGCATATCATTAGGTCTGGCTTCAAGCCTGTTGATAACTATCGGATGTACTCAAACACGGAAAAGGATAGGCGTGACATTTGCATTGTAAGAGTTTGTAATACTATGGCATATGGCAAGCAGTTGTTCTATTATTAAGGCCGTGAAATATATCAAACTAATGCCAAAATCGCGAAGACTAGAGAATCGTGATATTTACTGAATGGCTAAAGACTGAATTATGAAGTATTCTTCTGAGATTCCCAAAACATGAATGAAATAGATACAAATATTATGAATGGAAATTCAATTCCCATGGTAAAATTATGCTTAATGATTTAAAGCTCAACATCTGGACATTTTCCAAAATTTAACATTTAACAATTTCTCTTCAAAATTGAACATTTAACATTTTCACAAAACGATGCTATTAGAGGAAATGTACTTTATCACAGAGAATTTCAGATTGTCCATTTTCTCGTTTCTCTCAAATTTTTGTCAATTTCGTAATTCTATATTTTCTCACGAGATTTTACCAATTTAATTCAGTCATGTGATATACATTTCCTCATCTAGCTATAACTAACAAAGTCACAAGACAGCGTCACGCTCAATACTTGACAATTATCACACCGTCACATCTAATGCGTCACACAGTCATATACATTACGTGACGACACCACAGTTTAAAAAAGATTAGTAAAAATGATATAAAATGGAAACATGTAATAGCTAGCATTATAAAAGTATAGAAAGTTAATTGCTTGTAGTAAAATATTCATTAGGAATAAATAAAGAGGGACCTATATTCATTATTTTTAGTTTCAAGACCTCAACGCATTTGGGGATCTTATTGGATATAATGGAGATTGTGTGATACTGATAGTAGAAAATATATCAACAATCGCAAAATATTGGGTGTTAAGTTAATACCATTACTTAAGTAAGGTTTTTGTAGTTTCTATCAGAAATATGAATATAGGTCTACCTCTGTTATTTTGTAATACATGGTATAATATATAGAATAAAATTCTATCTTGCATTGCTCAACATCTTTAAGGCATAGAATGGATTCTTACAATAATAGCACTTTCTTCGTATTAGCACTTGCCTGTGTTCTAAAATGAACACGTCCTTGCATTGACAGTTTGTATAGCACTTTCTATATTATGTTATTATGGAAAATATAATTCATCCGTTCTACCTTGTAGAAACACCCAAACTTCACAATAATCACACTACATCAAATAGCACCGTCTTCAATTGCCCTCTCGTTACCGCCATAAAGTACGTAACTCTATGGCGGACCTTGCATCTTTGACGTCATCCGTTCTGGAAGCAGCAACGTGACGTCATCCTGTACAGCAAAGAACTACATCAATGGCAGATATAATGCAAAAAGAAGCTTTCAGTGAAATAAAAGAAACTAAAACATCAGTCACACCATTTAACGTTCAAAGCTCTGAAGATAACTTTCACCTCAAGTCGACCTTGACCATTGATTTACAAGGAAATGAGAGTGGATGATGGTGAACCGACAGCATCAGTACTGCTCTCACTGGAAGCTCTGTGTACCTGACTTCCACATGTAGGACTGGATCGTAAAGTAATACCATTAGCATCGACGTAGTTATCCAGTGAACCAAAGGTAAACAAACCGCTTGATGGGGTGGTAATTGGAATTCCAGCAAGTGTCGTCATGGCAATGGAAGTTTTTGTGGATTCGCTTTTAGGAATTACTAAGGTGCTTGGACGACTAGAGGAGACAGACGATTGGCTGCTATTGCTGTCACATGACTGGACGGAGCTGGGAGAAATCGAACGTTCTTGCTTTATGGATACTGGAACGATTCGATGGAAGCTGGAACTATTGACCTTACATAAGGGTTGGTGGGCTTTCAGGATAAATTCCAACTGGTCTCTCTGTTTTTGCAGTTGTTGGATATCGTCTTCAAGGGCAGATTTTTCACCTTCAAGTTTCTCAGTTTCCTGAAAAATTTAACAAATCAATAATAAATACGTGCTGACCATGGTCGAACATAAAACATAAATCAATTTCGGTTGATTTCCACATCTTTGTCCTTAATAATGCAAATAAGTTAGAAGAAAATTTATTGTGTTAACGTACATGCCCTTCTTTTTTCTTTGAATTATCAGTTTATCAGTGCATAATGCAATTTTGGATAGTGTCCAAAATCCTTGAATTACGAGGAATCGTGAAGTTTGAAACACATGTAGATGGAGTACTCACCTTGACTAAGATATTAGTATGATCTACTCTTCTCTGACGACATTTAGCTGCAGCAAGTTTGTTTCTCTCACGTCTTATAGCTCGTCTATGCTCTTCTTCGGGTGCCAACTGAAATACAGAAAACAAATTCATGAAGATATTGGTTACTTACAAATCTTTATCACTTCCGATTGTATATGTCGTATTGTGCAATGTCCAATAGTTAAAACCTTTGGACTCGGAGGTCTTTCTAAATATAAAGTATGAAGTAATACTATTTCCACATGTGTAATAGTGTCATTTTGACCATATGTGGTTACAACAGTGGGATACCGTTATTTTTAATGTCAATGTTTCGTCAGGGGGTCTGTAGTTTTTCTTTATGTTTCTCGCGACTTAACAATGTAACAACTAGGTTTCGTGATGTCAATTTTGGTATTTCCGTGAGGTTTTGTCTCATATTTTCACCACCACTGACTCTTTTTTTACGAAAAATATCGTATGTTCACAGACTGTCACGAGAAGCCATGTGATGGTAACATCTGGATTAGGTCAGCTACATAACAAATATTCGATTCAAAATGTTTCAAATATTTATAGCTTCAAATACTAATCCGGTTGATCAAATTTGCCAATATTTTGAAACAAAGATAAAGTTTTGTAATGTAAATGGAAATTCAAAATTTCATTTATTAAATTAAAATGATAATCCTAACAAATGATCGAGGTTTAGATGGTCCTTTTATCACAAAAAGCCGGTCGAATATTTGTCGAGTAGCAATAATTCACCCACAATAATTTACTACGTTGTAACTATCTCTTCGAGGATGGGATCTTACATAATGTTCCAAAAATAAAATTGTGGTATAAAATTGTACGACGTAAAAACAAGGCGAAGTTAATTTTCAGGCATATTTTGTTATCATTCCTACTTATTGTATTTTCCTTTTATTAAATGTAATAGTTATGTCTCTCACCTTTTCGTCATTTCGTCGTCTGCCCCCCTTTCTATTTGGAGTGGGGGTTGGAGTTGGATAAGAAGTAAGATCAGAGTCTCTGGTCATTCTAGCTCTCTTTCCTCCTGGCATCCAATCAGGATCATCACTAAATTCTGAATATCTGTCTATGGAATGACCGTTGGATGTAACTGGATCAACTACTGGTGGAACAAAGCCACTCTGTGTTAAGGCATTAGGATCATGACCGCTGACTGGTGCCGATTGTAATTCAATGAAGGTTTTTTCAATGTTGGCCAGGGTTGTGGGGGTTAAAGTTGGTGTGGTGGCGGTAGTCACTCCGCTTAAAAATCCTGGTAATGGATACTGAAAGAAAAAATGAAAGTTATAACACACAAACCGATTACTAGGAATATATATAATTATCAAGCCTTATATGGCAGAAACATTGTAGTGAACGTACCATTCCTCTTGTCAATAATATCAAATTTTAACATCAAAACGTTATCAAAAATTTAATATCCCAGATGGTCAAAATAATGAAAAAAACACGAATTCTTTGTTAACGGTTAAAAAATCTATAAATACTCGTGTGTCCAGTGAACTTGATTCAACTTACACCGTAGTAAGGGTTAGGCCTGTAGTTATAGTGTGAACTATAGCCATAATTCCATCGGTAGTCCATGTTATCCAGTCACAATATTCAAATTCAAACTGATGTCGACAAGTGAAATGTCTAGTGTCAAATGAAGCGAATCACCAAATTTTATAAATAATGTATATTAGTGAAGAGATCAAAGGAAGCCGACATCCTCTAATACGCCAATCATATTTTATCTATTCAAGCATGTTTAAGACTCGGTTATCATGCTATGCAATTTTGAATTGTATTGAATGATAATGTCTGGATAACCGGAAATCTAGTTAATTTTCCCAGGGGCTGTTATGTGCCTGTATTTCGGTGGTGGTAAACAAGTTTCAATTTCAGAGTTCACAGATATGGCACATTTTCTTCCTACTGATTACTCTTTTGCTCAAATTCAAAATTGTCCTCAATTTGATTTAACATCTAGGTCAACTGGTCTGGGGCTTGTCAAAAATATTCCGCTAAAAATTGCTATTTCCTCAGCTACCAAACCCACAAAGGTGAAAGGCGCTATTGCAAATCTAAATTTTGGAACCATTTATAAGCCCTATTTTACTTACTGTGAATGGAAGTAGATAACGTGCGATGCACGCGAGGCAAAGTTATGAATGAATGAAGTGTACAAGTGTCCTACTCGAGAATAGTAAATCTAACATGGCGCTCAGACGATTTGATTGATAACCGATCGTACGATGTCTAGATATTCCAAAATCATGAAAGACTTTTAGCCTAAAGTAAATTTTCAAAAATAAAATTTGGTACTTACACTGGGTGTTATTGGTTCTCCGTTTGCCATTGATGAAAGTATATCGGCTACGTATTTAGATTCACTGAATGTTGTTGGTACGCTTTGTGTTGTGTTGTACATCTTGTAAGGTTTCATATATTTGTTGATAAATGGTATGGAATAGTCAAGTTGTTATCGTTGAGTCTCGAGTAGATTAGCTGTGTAGTTATTATATACCGGTACTCCGGGAAAGACTTTCAGTAGTTATGTTGAGGATTCCTCTATGACTCACAGTTATATAGTAAATGAAGGGAATACCTCTGTATGTTCTATATAAGCTATGAGTAATGCATGACTCATACGGCTATTAATAGTAACATTACATCAGTTGGCCTTTGTTGATATAACACGTGACCATATCCATTCCCAAATAAGGATATTCTCTACTCTGACGTCAGAGATTAATGGGTGTTTTTATCGTTTCAGTTGAATGAATGAATAAATAAATAAGGGGAGAATCTCTTTAGGCCTATGGTGAAAAATCTAGGGTGGTGTTATATCTATATTTTCTTCTCGTTAGATATTTACCTCTACTGTTTTAATGCACGCGACATGCAGGGGATCACGAGCTGTAAAGAAGCCAATATTTGACCCGTCTGTGACTCGTATTGATTGTGGCTGGATTATCCAGACCGTAAAACAAACTTCTATTTATACTATGATAATCAAGTCTAAGAGGCACCTCTCTAACAAGATATTGATCAAGTCTGGGGTATTTGTGTTATTTCGACACAGAAGTATTCTGAGGACAGTCGTGTATCTCGTTATGCATGTTATCTGCAATTCACATTGAACACTGTTGCATAGTGTAATATAGCATTCGATTAGGCTATTGCGGAGCTATATAGCGATTTTAAATGTATTATAAATTATGATAGTATTTATGATATTGTGCAACAGTATCAACATAATATCTTGTTTTCGTTGATTTTGGAGGAAAGAAAGGTTGTGTTATGAAAATCTATCATTTCTTATATTTGCATCTGACTGGTTGCTTTTTGGGGCCATTCAAAATTTTCGTAACCCCTTGTAACACGGACAAGCATACCCCTTCTTGAATAATCACTGGTTCATACAATAAAATATTTTCACTTTTAAAATAGTGCTCAATCCATCAATTGTAGAGCGATATAGAAATATCACTGTTAAAATGGTACTCAATACATCAATTATAGAGCGATATAAAATACCACTGTTAAAATAGTGCTCAATACATCAATTGTAGAGGAATATAGAAATACCACTGTTGAAATAGTGCTCAATACATCAATTGTAGAGCGAGAGCATGTAACTTTCTTAAAAACCTTCAAGATTGTAATGTTCCGAGTTCTGGTAAGATTTAAAGTTTTCAAACTTCTAAATACTGGCGCCAAACCCGGCTTTTCAAATGTTCTAGAATGTTACCAAGAGTGTACCTTATATAACCCAAATATACCTAAATATACTAATAAATACCATTAAATACTGATATACATAAACAAGAGTATAAATATAGTACAGTACAGTACAATAAACAGGTATATAAATATAAGTATCCGACTATTATACTAACGTATATTAACCTAAACACACACTTCTTACCTATATATCTATATACCTACCTATACTATATTCTTTTGTTGTTTATTACCGACTTCTCTATCTCATTTACATAACATGTTTACTGTTTACTGTAAAATTCGAATTTTCTTAAAAGATTTGAACGATCCTAATTGCAACGGAAATAGTGCTTATTTGCTATTTGACATTATGAATTCTATAGACATATATAGGAAAGACTTATATAGAAATAGAAAGCGAAATTCTTAGTTTGGATATTTTTGAAAAAATTATGCGATTGTCGTTCAGTTCTGTTAAGTCTGAATATACTGTTTTCATATAGTCAAGACCCGAAATGGCCAACCTGTCCCTTTAAAATTTGTCAAAATGGCTGGTGGTTGTTGGGATTATGGTAACCGCATTTTTTTCCTATAGAAAATGGTTTGATGTTGATTTTTTTTCAGACATTTTAAGGGGTCAAAGCAAATTGGTTCAAGATCTGATGAGAAAATGTATAATGTGGTATGACCAAAATATAAGATTTGGTCTACATTAAGAGTTCAAGAGTATTTTCGCATCTTATTGTCTGCACCAGATGCCTCCAAATATGCGTTACCACACAACATACAGGCTATTGAAAATATGCGACTCATTTTAAAAGATCGGTAAGACGTGGGGATACATATCGCCAAACTCATGATTTGTTCTTTATTTAGAATATAGAGTAATAATATTTATTGCTAAGTATGATATAGCAACAAATAACCGGACACTTATATGTGTCAAAGTCAGATGCTAATTTATAAGATCACTTAAGATTTTTTTAGTAAAACACAAAACGTTTCAAGGTGAGTGAAAAAGCTCACGAATTATTTAGATAGATAGTAAGAGAAAGATCCATTATTAGCCTATGACTGTGTAAAAATTATTGCACCCCTTCTTGAACTGATTTTCTGGTCATTCCAAATTGTAGACGACCTCATTACAACCCAAGCCTACACGAAATAAGTGTTACATGAAATAAATTGAAATCCTACGAATTGAGATGAAGGTGCATAGAATAAGACGCTTAATTAATCCACTCAAGAATGTATGGCTTCATTGATACCACGTTTTCAAGAAAACAAAACGATTTGAAAAGATCACCTGGAAAACTCCAATCGATCAGATTTTTAATTTGGCCAAAATATGGTATCATTTGTAGATTATT